TGTCGCGGGGAGAGGTCGGCGCCCGCGTGGTCTGGGGCCGGAGGTGCGGCTTCCCGTGGCTTTCCGGCAACACGAGCCTGGGAAGACCCAAGTCCCAGGACGTGGGTTTGAGTCCTGGTTTGGGAGACGATCGCTTCCTGACTGTGGGCAACCTTTGACCTTTCCAGCCTCTGTCTCCTCATTTCTGAAAAAACACAGGCGGTTTTCCCTGGTCCGCTCACGCCCAGTTTGCTGGCGCCTCAGATGAGATGCGCTCCCGAGTCTGTGCTGGGTGGTGCCAGCTGCCCTGCGAAGGCAGCGGGTGTTTGCAGCGGTGCAGACACGTGGCCTGACCGGTCGGCAGGCAGAGGTCGCGGGCTGGGGCGAGGGCCGGAGCAGCAGCGACGCGTGAGCTGACTCTGCACCTTCGACCCCACTCTCCCGCCCAGCACCCCACGTGCCAGGATCCCACAAACGCAGCGTAACTGACCCGGGACCTTACCTGCCATCCCCTGCGGAACGTAGGGGCTGTCGTGACAGATGGCGGGACCCTGCGGATCGGAGGTGCCAGTCTGCGCAGTGAACGGCACCTTCATTATGGAGCACAAAGGAACGTAGAAATGATCAGAGGAAAACAGAGCCCCCAACCCCTTCATTACAGGGACAATAGGAAGCTAATTGCAAAATTGTGTTTAACTCAGATGGTTTGGCGAACCAGTTCTTATACACCGAGAGCAAGTGTGAACCTTGGACGTGACCTTGCAGGCCGCCTCCACCCAGGATTCCACAGCGCCCAGCTGGGAGCCGAGGGCGGAGGGTCACTCGTGTCCAGAGCAAAGCCACAGCATGTGAAGGGAAGGGGACGGGGACTCGGCCCTGACCCGTGTGGCTCGGTGGGTTGGGCATCGACCTGCAACACGGAAGGTCGCCGGTTCCATTCCTGGCAGGGCCACACGCCTGGGCTGCAGGTTCGGTCCCTCTCGCCAGCACACCCGTGGGGAGAGGGCTGCTCCCACACTCCCAGGCTTTGGGGCAGTGGCCGGCCGGGAGGCTGCGAGTCTGCCCCACACCCACCCTTTCCTGTCCAAGGGGGCCGGTCTCAGCACACCCGCCTGGGGAGGGCCTCACGCGCACCCTGAACCCATGGGGACAGCTACTCTTTTGATAATATTGATCAGTCAATACAACAAGGGTGAGGGTGCGGGGCAGCTGCGGCCTGTGCTCCGCTGGTGGGAGCACCACAGCAGTTCGTCCAAAGATTGAAGAATTTCCCTGTGTTCTAGAAATTTCACTTCTGAATATGTATCAAAAAATGGGAACTAGGACCTGGGAGAGGGAGACACTGACACAGCCGTGTTCGCAGCAGGGGGAGCAACCAGAGTGTGAGCGGACGGGCGGGCGGGCGGGTGGACAGACAGAACGCTGCCCACCCAGACAACCGAACGCCCCTCGGCCGTAAAACAGGACACTCCGGCCCCTGCGGCCCTGGGCTGAACTTGAGGACATCATGCCGAGCACAACAAGCTGGTCACAAAGAGACCAAACCCGTGAGGTTCCCCAGAACGTTGGTTGGGGTGGGAGCACAGGGAGTCGCTGCTTAATTGGGACAGTTTTGCTTTTCCAAGTCAAGGAGATGCTGTACCTGGCGTCACAAAGCCCCTGGACCGTCAGAGCCCTGCATTCAGAAATGCTTCAGAGGGCAAATTCCGTGTGTGCGCGTTTTACTCTAACTGAAGAAAAAGAGACCCTCCCGTGTGCGGTTGGGAAAATAACTCCCTGCCGGGCTGGGGCCCGGGCCTAATAGGGGCCGAGTTCAGAGGGGCCCATCAGGCGGGCCCGGGGGACCTTTCAGGGAAGGACTGGAAAGAGTGTGAAACACCCAATCTGGGGAGGAGTTTCTGGTCTGAGGGAGGGGCTGGGCGACCAGCCGGAGAGAGAGAAAGTCATGGCCGGAATTCCAGCAACCTGGACAGGCGCCGTCCTGGCACCCCGCTTCTCTGTTGGTGCCCAGGACACCAGTGAACACAGGAGGAGCCATGCGCAGAGGAGCCAGCCCTGGGAGGCCACAGGGACTTCGGGGCAGGGACAGAGGGACAGGGAGGGCCCAGAGCCCACCCCCTGCCAGGTCCTCCTCGTCCCCAGGCTCTGACACCCTGTGGGACCATCGGGACTCATAGATGTCCCCCGGCTTTAGAAATAAACCAGCAAAGCATCCTGCTCCGCGTTAACAGACACCAGACAAAGGCCGGGTTTTGCCACAACGGACAGCCAAGCCAGAGAGAAATTTCTAGGGGGGGGGGGGTCACTGGTGATCTGAGAGAAAACAGAATTTCGCCCCGAGAGGAAGTCGCCGAGTCGGGAAGCAGCCAGACAGCACGCTCCTCTCTCCCTCTCTCCCGGCCGCGGGGACCCTCGGGCCCTCGCCTGGCTTCAGCAGTCGGAGCAGCAGACACGCTGTGAAGGTGACCGGCCGGGGACCACAGAGCCGGTGCGCACCTGCTCTGCCAGGGGCGCGCAGCCGGCTGCGTCCATGACGACGCAGAGGCCCAGACCGGAGCACTGTGAGTGCTCCGCACAGCCGGGCGGGATGCTCCCTGCGTACCACGGGTCCCCGACGGGGCCCCGGAAGTGGGTGTGGATGCAGGAAATGACACGGGCTGAGGTGACAGTGGCCAAAGCATAGCGGGCTCCAGAGGGGATGAAGGGTGGCAATGAGCCAGCAGGTCCAGGCCAGGAGGTCCCACCGCACAGGCTCCCTTCGAGAGCCCAAGAAGAGGTCTGGGCCACAGGGTCAGTCCCAGGTCTTGGCGGCCAGCCACCCCCGGGTGCTCTCTGTCTTGGGAGGTGGACGGTGGGGTCTGGTTCCATCCGGTTTAAGCAAAACAGAGCTGCTGGGAGGGTCGTTGGTGCAGCACCCGCAGGTGAGTGACCTGAGGGACAGGCCACTGCCCCGTGGAGAAGTCCCCAGGACGCACGGCCCTGGTGCAGCTCTGCCGGTGGGCGGCCTGCTGGGTCTCCGTGTTTCTGCCCGAGACAGTGTGGGACTTCATCGACCCCCGCCGCCTCTTCACCGGAGAAGGTTTGCTTTACGATGTTCCCTAACGGGTCGCTGTTCCCAAAGCCAGCAGGGAGGCGTGCACACAGGCGGTGGCGAAGCCTCAGTCACGGGCACTCACGCAGCCACAGCCGTGTGCAGGCCCCCGGGCCTCAGGCAGAGCCCAGAGACACAAAGGACAGTGAGGAGGGTCGCGGCAGAGTTCCTGGCAGGGAGGCCGCGTCTCAAAGGACAAAGGGGATGAACGGGGACGCTGTCCCCAGCAGCTGATGGCGGTTCGCTCCAGTCTCCCAGTAAGAGCTGGTCAGAGGTGCCCCGTGACCCCGGCATGAATATTTAACAAGGAAATGTGTCGTTAGAGCAAAGGCCCCACGGCAAACAATTAATATTAATGGCATGGAACTGAGCCTCCTTTTGAACCCTGGGAGAAGGCGGCGACCGTGGGAGAACTCGCAGGTCTCCAGAACCAGCCTTGGCCTGGGCAGGGCTCAGCAGGGGCCCCCGGGCAGCAATTAGACATTCCGCGGCTCTGCCCTGGCCCGGACGCCGGGGCTCAGGTGCTCCCCACAACTGCTGACAGCTGATGGGCCCAGAGGCTGATGGGCCGGCAGAGGCCCAGGGGGGCCTCGGAAGAGAGCAGGGAGCCAAGAGGCCCGAGGGCGACCGATGCCATCCCAGGGCCCCAAAGACGGACGAGGACAGAGGGGCCGAGGCCCACTCTAAGCCCCCCACCCCAGTCTGCAGGGCTTTCTCCTCCGGGAAGTTGCTCAAGGACAGCAGCGTCCTTGAATTTCCCACCCCTCCCCTGCACGCGTCCGTCGCTGCCGAGAGACACGAGACCGCTGTGGGCAGGGTCCCACAGGGCCCAGGCCAGGCTGGGGCCCCCAGGATGGGGCGACTCGAGTGCCCGGATGAATGAGCTCCAGGAAAACGTGACTCCGGGGCCTGAGCGGGGCCAGAGCTGCCCCCAGAACCAGGGACGCAGGCACGTGGCCTCAGCCCTCCAGTCTCAGGCTCCGGCCAGTAGTGCCGCTCCGGAGGGGGCGGCCATGCGTCCTGTCCAAGTGCGGCTGTGAAGTCCTGCTCCCTGGGCTTCCCGGGCTCTTCAGGGGGGCCGCAGCCCCCTGAGTGCTGGGGTTGGAGAGCCCCAGACCCCTGCTCGCTGAGATCCCCAGCAGAGTCTGGCCAGGACGCCCATGGGCCCTGAGACTCCGAGGCCAGTTCTGGCCACACTGACCACCAGCCACGTGGCCCTCGCTCGTCCCTGTCACGAGAGGCACTCGGGGCCCCAGGGTTCGGACCCAGGCTTGACTCGGTCAGAGAGCCCAGGGCGGGAGCCTGTGTGCCCTCAGGCCTTGGTCCACGGCGGGAAAGTCAGCCCGGACCAACAGGCTGCTTCCTGGCGCTGAGCTCCGCCTGGCTCCGTGAAGTCTGCCTCCCGAAACTTGCCCGGGTTGTGGCTTTGTGGTTCTTTAACAGCGAGTGTGTCTGTGTGTTTGCACACGTGTGTCACGTGTGTGTGCGTTTTCGTGTGCAAGATGTGTGTGAGTGTGTGTGCTTGGTGGGGTCCGAAGCGGACGTGGAACGTTCGGCCCCAGGTTCCCCAGCCTGACTGAGCTGCCCAGACTCAGCCAGACGCTCGGTGCTCGGTGCTGGCGCAGCCGACCTCGCGCCACGTGAGGTGGGAAGGGAGCCGGCCCGGGGACCAAACTCTCAGATGTGGTGTCAGGTGAGCCCCGCAGGAACCTGACACGCATGCACCCTGTTTACATTGCTGACAAGGAGACGGGCTCCAAGATTCAAACTCCCAGCCTGTCCCCTGAGCCTGTGGGGGGTGGGGGGGCGTCACGGGGGCAGGTCTGGGGGAGGCGGCGGATCCACTCAGAGACACAGCCTCAGAGGGTGAGTGCGGGGGTGGGACGGGGAGAGAGGGGCCCAGGGGCGCAGCGGCCAGCGGGACTTATCTGAGAAAAGCACGCACTCACGGAGGCCTCCTGCTCACCTAGACGACGTTGCCATAGAAACAGGAAATCGCCTGGATTTCTCCAACACTCTACACAGCAGTGCGCCCCCTCGGGAGCCCCTGCCGGCCCGAGGTCAGGGCTGCGGGAGTGGGTGCCGCCAGCGGGTGGGCCGTCTGGGGTGGGAGAGGAGTGGGGGCGGGAGGGTAGGGGCTGGGGAGGAGCCCCGCCCCGACTAGTCCCGTGGACCAGGCTGGCCCAGGGCTGCCCAACCCAGCACTCGGGTGGCTGGCTTCTGGAAAACAAGGAGACAGAGAGATACTAGTAAAAGTACATGGAACGAGGGGCAGGCAGGGAGAGCCCAGAACGCATTTTCCCCAGGAAAGGTGCCCGTCCGAGCGGGCTGCGCTCTGCGTGACCCCCCCCCCCCCGCCCAGCCCTGAAGTGGGGGGGGCTGGAGCAGAGGGAGGCCAGCAGGTGGGGCGCGAGGGTGGGCAGGGCAGGCAGGGACGGCGGATCCGAGACACCGCGAACCTTTGTCCAAACGGCAGAGTGAACGCTAGTGCACACCACGGACGTCGTCACCGCAACGTCAGCGCAGACGGCGACAAACTCCCCATGCTGTCGCAGGTCAGTGGGGGGGAGGGAGAAGGGCACGGGAATTCTCTGTACTTTGGACTCAGTTTCCCTGTAAACGTAAAACTGACCTAAAAACAAAGTCTATTGATTGAAAATGTGCAGAGCGGATTCAATGCCTTAAATGGCCCAGCCCTCCCCCAACGGGGTGACCCCCGCCCGCGCCCTGTCAAACGCTGCTCCTCCTCAGACCCGGTCTCGCTGCCTCTGCCTGTGCAGTTCCTCCGCCCACACGCAGCCCTGAGAAGCAGGCGCAGAGCCGACAGCAAAGCAGGCATCTGTCACAGCAGAGGTGACAATGCTCTGCCCAGGCCTCCTGGCTCAGAGCCTGGGTCTGCTCCCCACGGGCTCCCCTGGGCTGCCGGGCCCCACCCGCACCCCACGCCAGGGGCACCGTGGGCACTGCGGGCCCCAGGCTCTCGCTGGGGACCCTGCAGTGTTCTCACTGTCCTGTGTCCCAGTTTTCTGTCATTGTTTCTGCCCGGCTCTGGCCACCTCCCCGTCCCTCGGGGCCCTGGCTTCAGTGGCACGGGGGTGGCCCCCGGTTGTCTCCGCACACAGGAAAGCCACTCCTTGCAGACGAGCGGTTTCGGCGCCCGGCTGTCCTCTCGTCCTCCTGGCCCCAGTCCTGATACCTGCGGTGGAGGAGATGCCAAGCCAGGTGCCGTGAGTGACAGAGATGAATGAGATTCCACCGGTCCCCAGCAGCAGCGGCCTTGGCAGACAAGCAGGACAGCAGGCGGCAGGTGACAAGGCTGGAAGGAGACCGCGGGGCCCTCCCAGCTCCCGCAGCCAGGCCCACTCAGCCTGCCAAGCCCCCCCCCCACCCCGTGAGGGTGGGCTCTGCCAGAAGGAGCAGGGCCAGCAGCCAGCCCTGAGGCTGAGCTAAGTTGGGTGTTCCAGTTGCCTATTGCTGCGTAACAAATTACCCCAAGACCCAGGGACTTAAAATGCACCATTTGATTAGAGCTCCGGATCTGGTAGGTCAGGAATTGGCGAAGACGCAGGCGGGGGCCATTTGTCTGCTGCACGAGGCACTGATGGGCTCAGGGGGGCACTCGGCCGCCAGTGAGGGGGCTGGGCTGGCCCCCCACGTGCAGTGTCTTGGCGTGCACCAGGGAAGGCTGGTCCCCAGGCCCTCAGCGTGCCCCCAGGTAGCCCCCAGCAGGTGGCGGGCGTCCTGGGGCCTGCGAGGCAGCCAGGCGGGGCCAGAGCTCCTGTGAACGGGCGACACCCGCGGTGGCGTCTCCGCATTCTCTGGACGGACACCCGGGAAAGGCGGTCTAGAGTCAGGAGGGAGAGCGAGGCCCCACCGCGGAGGGCGTGGGGCGGAGATGGGCAGCAAAGAGCCTCAGTGGTTGCTTGGGGAGCGGGGGCACCTTCTGTGACCATCTCCTTCCATCCAGACCTGGGCCTGGGGCTCCCGGCCTTCTCTGCCACCTCGCCCAGGTCACCTCACAGAGGGCCCCGTGGCCAGCACCTCGGACCCCAGGGGAAAACGGAACTTCCCGACGTTCTCTGTCCATCACCCCACAGGAGACTTCTCACCGTTACGTCACCCCAGTGCCTTTGTCACCAAGGACGTGTGCCTGGTGTTTAAATCCACGGGAGTCGTGGGTTAAACAAGCATCTGAGGCCAGGAGGAAGTCTGTTACCTAGAGACCTGCTCAGGGGACCCCAAACCCTGAACACAGCGCTGCCCCACGGGGTCACAGTGACTGTGTTTGGGTGGGCTGCAGCATCCCAGGAGGCCTCCAGGCATCTCCTGGCCCCCCCCACTGGACCCAGATTGCTGACCCCCGGGCCAAAGTGCGCCCTCAGCAGGGCGCTGCCTCAGGCAGAGTGGGAGCGAGGAGCCGGGGAGCAGGGGGTGTGTGGGTCGGTGCCAGCCGCAGGCTCTGAGTGTGACAGAACCAGCAGCCGATGCTGCACACCCCTGAGGTCGGAGGAAAACTGCACACTAACGGTATCATCTCCCAAATCACCAAATGACAGGCTCCTGGCATCTCTTCTCTGAGATAAGAGTGGACAGCACACAGTCAGGCTTGTGTGACTGCTCACCCTCGTCCCCAGCACAGAGCTGGTTTTAAATGGTCACATTTGTCAAACCTCCACAGAAATACCTGCCTGCGGTTCCTGATGAGCAGCACCTGGCCTGGGCGGCCACCCCGGTGGATTCTGGGCCTCATCTGTGACCTCATCATGTTCACTAGACAGACGAGCTCCTGTTACATCCTGGAAGCCTGCACTGTTTCTAACACAACGGCTCACCGTTGTTTACAGTGTGTCCACGGGCTCGTTTGTTGCAGAATAAACTATCAAATTTTATCAAGTGCAGAATGTAGATGCTTGATTGTGAAAGAGAGGGAAACTGTAGGTGACTTTATTTCCTTAACCTAAATGAATGCCCAGTCTGGTGCGCGGGCCAGAGCATACCTCCCCCAGGGGGGGCACCCACCCTCTGGGGGTGGAGGCACTGCCTGGCCCACAGCTGGACACCTGGGCCTCCTGGAGGACCCGCCTGGCCCCTCCCGATGAGGCGCTCACTCAGAAGTCCCCCTGCCCGCGTCCTGAGGTGCAGCGGGCCTTCCGGGAAGGGGGAGGGTGGCCACCTTCTAGGATACGGGGCTTCCTGGGCCGGCCGGAGCCAGAAGCCCCTCTGAGAGACGCTTCCTCCGCCATCCGCTCCGCCACGAGCATGCCAATAGCTGGGCGAGATGATGCATTAACCTATTTCTGGCCGAGGCACGGCCATCCATCAGACCCTCTCTCCTGCCGGCAGGACAGCCGGCCGCCAGGCTCAGCCGCCCCACAGGGGGCGGGCCCGGGGCTGCAGGCGGCCGAGTTCTGGGCCAGCCCTGTCCCGCCTGAGCCTGGGGCTGAGGCTTTTCAAAGAGGGGCGACCCCGAGAGCTGCCAGCCCTGTGCGTCCCAGGAATTCTGTAATTTCGGGAAAGGGCCTGTGGGCATTTCCCTGTCCTGAGACGGGTCCCCGCTGGGGTTTCGTGTTTGGTGCAAAACAAACCGCGGTCTGGCGGGGGGCCGGCCCATCTGCAGTGCTTCCACCGGAGGCTCTAGGTGGCCGCCCCCAACCCTTCCCTGGAATCAGAGTCCCTGGGAGTTTGAAGGTGGGTGCCCACCATCCCAGTGACCCTGAGGGTGTAAACCAGGGCGGCGACAGCCTGAAGGAGGGAGTGGATGTCAACGGGCAGAGGGTGGCATCTGGCACCCGATCACTGGGGACCTGGGCCAGGCCCTCTGAGAGGAGCTGGCTGTCCCAGGGGCTGACGGCGCAGGAGGGAGCACCGGTCCTCACAGGCCACCGGCTCCCTCTGGTCCCTCCTGCCCAGCGGTGCCCCAGGCTCAGGCCCAGCCCTGCTCACTCGGGCCCCGTGGGATCGGCCCCTGGCTGAGCGTCTGCAGCTCTGAGGAAAGGACCCAACAGAGAGCCAGGCCCAAGGCCTCAGGATGGGTGGTGTTTGGCAGAATAAAAGCCCCGGCTGAGTTAGGGCGCTTCAGAAGGTGTGACCTGGGGTGGGGACATGGGCTATGACAGGGACCGTGCCAGCATCCGCTGCAGCTCCCGAAAACACACCTGAGCTGCCAGCCTGGGAAAGCCAGGGGCAGCGACAGGCCGGACTTCCGTGAGGGAGGCAGGTCCTGTAAGGGAGCCTCTCCCTTGTGCTCCCCCCGCCTTCTCCCAACAGGGGCCAGACAGTGAGGTGGCGCCACGGGACAGGAGCAGCTCAGGGCCCCAGGGCCCCACGGGGCGGTCTCCTAGCACCACCCCCAATGGGCTGGCAGGATCAACAGACCCCATGGGGAGGGGAGGCAGGAGGCAGCCTCGGGGTTTCCGGGCCTCGATGGTCCCCGCCCATCACGGAGGCTGCTGTCTGCATCGGACACCGCTGGTGCCCCGCCTTTCCAAGCCTGGTGCTGGGGTGCAGACCGGCAATCTGGGGTGAGCGTGTGGGAAATGGTGTCGGCAGAACGGTCTGAAAGCCCTCGGTAGAGGGTTTGGCCTTCAAGTCGGGGACTAGGTTGAACGCAGACCTGCTTAGCTCCGTTCTCCCAGCCGGGCCGGGCCGGCTGCCGGGGCACCGGGGAGCGGCTCTCAGGCCAGGCTCTTCCGTCCTGGACGCGTGGCACCACCTCCACACACGGGGCACAGACAGGGAGTCGGTGTCCTGGGCATTCTCCATCCCTGCCGGATGCACGAGCCGTGTGGGTCTGGGGCCGAGCGGAGTTGCCGTGTCGGGGGAGCGCCTCCCAGCTGGAGGCGCGGTGAGGAAGGCGAGAAGGAAGGGGCCCTTGGTGGTGGAGTGCGGGCAGGGCCGGGAAGGAGGGATGAGGAGGGAAACCCAGGAGTTTCTGCCGTGTCCACAGCTCGGACCGCGCCTCCGGGCGCCTCTCCCCACTCTCCCGTCCCTTCCGTGTATCTGGGCTCGAAAGCTTTGTGAGGAAGGGGAACCGCCGAGAGGAAGGTGAGGGAGATGCGGCGGTCGAGTCGCCTGACTGCCAGCCGAGGTGGGGGCCGGGGGTCTCCGTGGGCCCAGGCGCCCTCCCCAGGGGCGGGGGGATGCGGCAGGCAGCCCGCGCTGTGTGTGCAAGGCGGACCTCTGACAGTTCACAGCCCACTGGCCTCCGGCTTATCGGCCAGTGCCGCTCACCGACCCAGCCCCTGCTATTTGACAGCTCAGCGCCTGCCAGCGTTATCTGTGACAAACCCCCGGCTGTGCCGAGTGGCCGCCCGGGCCGCGTTGATAAGCTGCAACCACTATCACCTGAAGGTCTGAAAGTGGCTTAAGCCACTTATCAAAGCTCCTGGAGTGGTCACCCCGGAGCCCCCGCCACCACGTCCCCCACCTGTGGCAGGTGCTTCTCAGCTGCACCCGGGACCCTGCGGAGGGGGCGCCAGCGACACCCAAAACTCCCGGAGGAGAGGAAGTGAGCGGGCGCGTCTTCCTGCCGGAACGCTCGCCGTGGCCGCACGTTTGCTGCTCCTCTCCCACGGCGGAGCCGCACCGCCCTGTCACGCCCGTTACTCGGAAAGTCGCAGGCTCTCACCTGACCCTTGGGGACCTGCCTGGGGACGGGCTCCCCTCGAAGAGACCCAGCTGTGCAGGCGGGTGGGGCAGGGCGGGGTAAGGAACCTGCACATGGTCCTGCACTTGCTGTGGGCGCCCCCAGGGCGGGGTAAGGAACCTGCACATGGTCCTGCACTTGCTGTGGGCGCCCCCCCCCCCCCGCCGGTTCTACGGACAGAAAACCGTCCTGGGCACCGAGGGTGCTTGTATGAGCCAAGCCTTGCAAAGCACTACCACTGGCACTGAGGGAGGGGCACACAAGCCCCGCCAGCAGGTGCACCCGCAGGGAGGCAGCCCTCGGTGTCCCCACAGGCAACTCTGCCTTGGGCGCTGAGTCCCCAGATCACCCTGCTTGGCCTGGGCCCTGCCGTGCACTGTGAGGGGGGGGGGGCCAGCCTTGCTCTGGGCAGCTCCCAGCACGGCTCTGGCAGCTGCAGAGCCCTCGGCTGCCTCGGCGCCCCCAGAGCCCAAGCCCCGGGCTCGCCACCAGCTCTCGCCAGCCCCAGTCAGGGGCACGGAATCCCACAGCCTCGGCGCCCTGACCAGGAGCAGCCGGGGAGCACAGAGTCATTGTCTCTCTGCTGTGGACCAGAGCGGACGTCAGCGACGACCCAGAGCCTGCCAGGGTCCCTGAGCCTGGACGTCTGGGGCCTGGCCAGGCCCGCTGTCTCGGGCCCTCTGCTCTGGGAACAGACACCCGGCCTCTCCCCTGCCTCACCAGCCTCTCCTGGGACGGGCTCCCTCCTGCCTCCTGCACCCAGCCTGGCCCGGCTTCCCGGGAGGGACGGCCCAGGGTCAAAGTTCTCCTGAACAAGGCTGTTTCTCTCTGCCTGGTGTCTGGGGCAGCTCTGGGACCCTCGGGTGGATGGCCGACTCCTGATCCGTGGCTTAGCTGCAAATGTGAGCTGAGACAGCTTGTTCCCTCCCCGAGACTCGGTTTCCCCAGCAGCATCTGCTGTAGGAACTGCGTGAGGACCGAATGACTTGGGAGACCCATGTGACACTGTGCCTGGCTTCACTGCTGCCCCAAGGGTCCTTCTGGATGTCTAGGTCAGGCCCTGCGCCACCCAGGCCTCGGTCCCACGGCCAGGACACAGCTGAGCTGCAGGGAGGGCTCACGCATGTGCACTCTGCCAGCCTTGCACACACCTGGCTCTGCCTGGCTCCGGCCCTCCCCCCACTCTCCCCTGTGCCCCTCCCTGCCAGCCCACCCAGCGGTCTCCTGCACACCTGCCCTGCACATCCAGCCCATCTCTGGCTGGTCCTGCTCCTCTGGGCAGGGCTGGAGGTGGAGATTCCCAGGAGGGGTGGTGGGGTCGTGTTGCAAGCCCCTTAAAATCTCTGCAAACAGGGGCCCTGGAGGGGAGTGGGGATTGGTCCCGGAGGCTTCCTCCTTTCCATCCAGGTGTCCAGGGACAGATTCAGGCCACCAGGCAGCGGTTCTCTGCTCCAGCTTCGCTTCGTAATCACTGTCCAGGCTCTGGGCTCCCACCAGGGACCCTGAGCTGCCTGGTCCTGGTACGACCTGGACAGGGGCAGGGGAATTGTGAGCTTTCTGGATGGTTCTGACAAGCAGTCACGGCGGAGACCCGCCCTCCCAGGTGGCCCGGCCCAGGGCCCGAGGGCGTGCACTCAGGGACTGTGACAGCCACCCAGTGTCCCTGCGGAGGTCTGGGCTCCCCACGGGGTCCACCTCCTTCCTGCCCGGTCTCTGTGCCGAGAGGACATGCACCCTTATTTCCACGCAGAGAAGGGGGTGGGAAGATGGTGACCTGGGTGCAGCAGATGCCCACGTGGCTGGGGCGGGAGGGACAGGAGCTGGCAGATGGCCTCCTCTGGAGACGGGCCTCGCGTCCTCAGCTCGGGGCAGCCCAGGTTCCCCCATCAGATCAGACCCGAATCCTTGTCTTCCGAGCTTGGCTTCCGGCCACATCCAGACGCCAGGAATACGGCGTTCTAATTAGCGGCTCTCATTAATCAGGCCTCCAAGTGGGCAGAACTGGAGATCCCAGGACGGCTGGGAGCGGGCTGGCACCCTGAGACCGCCCGCCGTCTGAGACCACTGGGTGCACGGCGCGGGCCGGACGAGGCCCGGTTGTGGGCACGAGTCACGGTCAGACTACGACCTCCGGAGAAGCCAGGGAAATGTCACCGTGGGTGGCTACAGCCTCAGAACATAATTGCCTTCTGTCTGCTTCATCGCCCAAACCCTCTCGGCGGCCGCCCACGGCCGGCACAAAAGA